AATACGTCTCTTTTTCAGAGCACAAATAAAACTTCCTATTTTCCGATATAACCTAGTATGGCTTGCCTCTGTTTATTCCTACCCATCTAAATACATGCATTTTTTTCAAGGTTTCATTTCTCACCTTTGAAACAACCCTCTAATGTCAGACCACATTTTAAACCCAATAAAAAATAAATCAGAGAAAAGTAAAACTCTTTGAAAGTCATTTCCCTCCACCTTGGTGCTTGCTTTAGTCTTGGTTGAAAACCAAGCCCAGAGCATTTAAAACAAGATTTATGAATCAGGCTCTTCAGGATGAATGTTTTGCAATGTGCCAGTGGTTAAAAATTAACTCTGACAGGTGTAGACGGGCAGAGGGGGAGAAAGAGTCATTTATTTTCCACTCTGGGCTTGAGGGTACAATATTAGACTTCAATTATGCTACATTAATATTTCTGAATATATCCATGAAATCTGAAATACATAAATACATTTATAATGGGCTTCATTCAAAGGCACCCCGTTTTGAATGGTCCTATTTTTACCTGAGTTGCCCTATAGAAATCTACTTTAGCTACCTAAGTATTAGTAGGGTAAACATAACATAATGATTCCAGGGAACTACTGTTGGGCTTTAAATATATTTAAGACTTTTAGTGACAAAGGGAACAGCAGACTATCAACAAAGTTCTAAGAACTTATGCTGTGCTTACCTTTCAAACCTTAGTTTCCCTCCACACTGAGGAGACTCCTTGCTTCACAGGTTTGTTGGATGTATTAAATGAGTTGGTGTGCCAACATTCTTTGCAAGTTGGGGAGTTTATCAAAGAATTTAAAAAACTTTATATGGATGATTATTAAGCTGTGCCTATTCTATGCTAGGCAGAGCTGAAAAGGAGAAGCCTTTGTCCTTGAGAAATGTAGTTGAGCAGATGAAACTCATAGGAAGAAGTACAGAACAGTTAAGTTAAGGGGACAAGGGGGTTAAGGACATAAACATATCGAATGGGCCGACGACCTGCACATAAAGCAGGGAGAGGACCTACCTGGGTGCAGATGAAGTGGATGGCACTGTTTGGGGCTGCTGTGTACAGCTGAACATTTTGTGCACTGTGCAAAGGCACCTTGGGTAAGGTGGCAGAGGGAGCGGGTACTGAAATCCAGGCCCCTCCACTCACCAAGCCACACATAGAGGAAAGGGCATCATACTAAGGCACCTTCCTCCTTCCAGGCAATGCACCTACAGGGCAGCACCTGCCCAGTGAGTGTCCCTTTCAGATTTGCATTAAAACCCCTACAGGCTCCCAGAGGCCTGGCTCTGCTGGCTGGGAACGGGGGGCAGGCCAGTGGGGAGAATGGCCTGATGGGATTCAGATAGTACTAACTAGGAATGGTGGACCGGGGAGTCGCGGCTGCAGAATGAGGCTGGCTCTGGCAGGGCCTTAAAAACTCGAGTTGATGCAACAGACAGTAGAGACATAGTATAGGGCCATGAGCTTCAGTTCTTATTACCTCATTTAATTCTCACAACCACCCCAGGAGAGAGGCATTATTCCCATTTCACAGACTGGACAACAGTTTGGAAAGGCTGAGTTACCTGATGATGAACTTGGCAACTAAGTAGCAAGAGTTGAGATTCAAACCCAGATCCATTTGACTCACACTGTTCTTTCCATGGCACGACGGATGGAGTGATTCTAAGCCTTATCCCAAAAGCTATAAAAATCGCCCTGAGGCTCTTTACTATATGTGACCCAGAAGAGCAAACATCACATATTTTTAGTTTATTACTTGTGGAAACTTCAGAGGACTTTTTGACTGGACACTAAAAACAGTCCCATTGCTCACGAAGCTTCCACAACCCCAGGCAGCAGGTGCAGCAGATATAGCAGCAGGCTGGCGCCCAGGGTCGTCCGCAGACCCAGGCTGGGTGGCACCACGTGAAACTCTCAACCCCTGCGGGCTTCAGTTTCTTCACGTGCAGACGAAGAGCTAGACAATGCTTTCAACTCTAAAGGGATGCTTTACATGATACTGTCACTTAAAAAATATTTACTGCTTTTTAAAATCTGGTAAAAATATCAAGCCATTATTTTTGTGCTTTGCAATTTATTTTGAATAAATCTTTGAAACTCCTTGACTTGAAACGCTATTTCTCCCTCCCCTATTCAAATTGTACCTTGGCCCTATTCAAATGGGCTTCTTCAAAGCCCATTTCAAGTCCTATGTTCTTCTGTCCACTCAATTACCCTAAAGTCACCAATCACATCTCAATTATTCTTTTTATACTTACAGTACACGCTGTCCCACCTAGTATTTAATTAGATACTATGCACTAATGGGTCTTACAGTCATGTGCTGCATAACAATGTTTTGGTTAACGATGGACCGCATACACAACGGTGGTCCCATAAGATTAGTACCATAGAGCCTAGGCATGTAGTAGGCTATACCATCCAGGTTTGTGTATACTCTATGATGTTCGAACAATGATGAAATCGCCTAACGACCCATTTCTCAGAACATATCCCTGTCATTAAGTGACACATGATTACATTGCCTCAAACATCATCAGTTTTGCCTATTGTTTCAAGCTCTATCTAGTAAAAACTAGAAAAGATGTCTATCTAGCCCATAATAGTCTTGTCCTCCCACCCCCCCAAAATCATTCAAGTACTCATTTCTATTCATAACAATAAAGTTATTGCAAATGAGTGATTTATGACGGTTCACTGGAGATGCGCCGGTGTTGTGCTTCCCAAGCCCTCTGGTACCAGCACACGCTGGGGCAATGATGAAGGACTATGAAAATGTCGCATTCCCACTAGGCTTAAGAAATCATTCCTCTAACCCAGGGTGCCCTGCCCATCCTGTGCACTGGAGCCGTTCCTGAATACAAAGGTGTTGAGGAGGTGGACGTTTTTCCTGGGGTTGGTAGTATATTTTCACAAGGGAGAGACACTGAAGCATCCATTTAATTCCAAAGGGCCTACAAGATTTCCAGAATGGCTAAAAGACATCACCCAGAGAGAAAAAGCACTCAAACTATAGTTTAAAAATTACTTGGATTCATTTTTTTTGAAGAGGGTGCATGAAATCTGGGATGGTTTAGCAAATGTTCAAGGCTTTATTTATCATGCTTCAACAAAGCTGATGGAACTAATCCACCTTTGAAACCGGCACACCAATTTCTCAGAAGAATGTAGGTAGAGTCTGTAGCATATCAAGCAGTTTTAAGTGTGCATTATGAAAATGGCTGCAGATGAATTTTTTCTCTGGCAGAATTATGCTGAAAGTGATAAAGACATTTAACCAGTTTACACCCGTCAGGCTAATTAAATTCCACCACTAATTCTACTACTACTACACCCCATGTAGTAGCAATTTTCAAAAACTCCATCTGATAAATTTGTCTGTGGTATCTGTCTATCCATTCTGGCTTTTCTACAGAGGGGGAGCCACTGAGAAGACCAGGACCACCCCCTAGCCCTTCACTGCAAGCAGGGCCCAGCTCTCCCCCTAGTCTCTCAGAGATGCCTCTACACAAGTCAGGAGGAAGTGAAAGATAAAGATCACAGCTCAGCCCTTTGGCCCAGGGTCCTGCTTTGTTCTTGCTAGTCCTCTTCCTCCCCACCCATGTGATTGGTCAATAAATAATTCAAGTGCCATGTTCCACCCCGGCCCCCTACCCCTTCATCACAGGGTACTTCTAACCTACATTGCATTCTTTCCTATGGAGCCCACAGGCAGACTCTGAACTCCAACACAGGGCTCCAAATCCGTCAACAAAGGACCCGAGCAGTCACATGAGAGGAAACTTTCAGCCAGCCCCTGGACTCGGCGATACCTGCTGACAGACTTCCTGATGCAGTTTACCTACAATTCGGGTACCCCTGTTGAACATCCCGCTTGCTGTGCTCTGGAACACTTGAACACTCCACGACTGCCTGATGTACTACTTCTGCTGCCTCTCTCACTTTTGGATACCATATTTTGGGCCTGTCCACAGAAGCCCTTCTCAACACCTGCACCATGAGTGGTTCCCTATCCCATCATTTATCCCACCCCTACAGGTAGGTTTTAAGCCTAGGCCCTCACCTCTCTCAGTCTGCCCCATCCAGATGCAAACAACCAAGCCAGTAACACCTAAAAAAAGCACAACTTAATTCTCCATTGCATGACACTGAGAACTGGGTCCCCATGCTTGCTAATACAGAGATAAATTTGGTCATTTGCATGAGTTACCTATAATAAACAATAAATTCATGATGTTTTCTTTAAATTCTAAGCATAAATTAGGACTACAGGCAAACCTTCTGCTTGTCCTGAGACTTCGCTTCACTTACAGGACCCAAATCACTATTCTAAATGATGAGCCTCTATTAGCTAAGTTTTAACCAGTATATAGCCAAGTAAGGTTGTTTAGACTTCAGAAGAAAAACATATCAGTTTAAATTAAATCCACTGCTAACACAGTCTACGTTTCCTGCTTTGTTAAATGGCTAATTGAATGCCAGCCTGCTTTCAAAGAAGTGTCTGGCTTGCTCTAACTTGCTACAGCGAATACCCCCGGGTTCATACTGCCTGCATTATTGAAAATGTTTATTTTGACAGACATTTCTCAGTCTACCTGCCTCCAAAAAACACATTCCAAAATACTTTAAATTATATAGTAATTATAAATCTCCTACTTTATACGTATTAGAAAGAAAAACAAAAATGTCAACAACTAAAATGAACTCTGTAATTTATGCAACTAGAAGCATAAATGTTGAGGGGGATGGAGAGCTCTCCCAACAACCCTCAGCTAAAACTAAGATCATTTAAAATCCACAAATATCAAAATCTGGATAATATACACCACCACTCAGCTATGTTTTCTTTAAATCACAAGGTAACATGTTGTTATGGATCTCAATTCTACAAGAAACTTATGTTACTTCAGAGGAGGTCTAAAGCCACCATTTTTCAGGCTCTAAAAAACCATGAGAGAATTTTAAATGTTCAAAAGGCATTACCTGGTGCAGGCTGTCGTTCATTCCATTCTGTGGAGATTAAAATTTCTATAACTTTTATGAGGTGTTCAGCATTCTCAGAGCTACGAAAAAGAGAGTTTTATTAGAAACCTTTTCCCCAAACAACAAACTCACTTTCATTTATGCACATGCAGGCGAATGTGTCTGCTGCAAATATGTACATGCATCTGTGAACTGGCATCTTTAGACTAAGTTTAATGACCAATCAACTCAGGACTACCCACATCACCCGAAAGTACATTTCTCTTCTTTCACTTACCTGGCTGCCGGGAATCTGAAAAGCAGAGGGCTGAAAAGTTCAGAGAGGACTCTTGCATTCAAAAGATTTTTGCTGGAGGTTTGAGAGAGTTTGAAGAAATGTTTTAGCAAATACTGGAGCGTAAGCCAATACTGATGAGGTATATTAGGCGACCTAATGAGCTTCTTCAACAGCTGGATATATTCGTCGGAGCTTTGTACTTCTACGAGTTAAAGAAAAAAGAATAAGAGACTGTTTCTAGGTACCAGTGAATAAACACCTAACAAATTTCTGTCCTTCTAGCTACACAAGAAGGAGTTATTTAAAACAAAGTCATCAGAAGAAGCAGATAGTTCATGTGTTCTTCTCATTAGAAAAGGCATTGTGAGAAAGTAGAAATCTCAAGTCAAATGGAAATGCAAGAAACTCTGGGTGTAAAAAACCACAAGAGGTTCAGGGTGTACTGGCAGAAATCTGCCCTCCATGGAGCAGCTTCAAGTGTGATTGGCTAATTCAGAGGAGCATCAGATAAGTATCACAGGTTTTAACTTTGAAGGTTACGAACCACAATTTCCTGTCCCCAAAGCACTTTAACTGAGCACTAGCTCCTAAAACTGAGTCCTTTTCCCTCAACGCATTTTGTAATGGCCACTCAGGGAAGATGACAAGAACATCTCCAGCCACTGGGTCCTAGTCCCAGTTCCCTGAATCCAATGATGGCACTGGGAACACTGTGGCCTTTGCTGACAGTGTGAACTTTGTCAGTCTTCTTAAGCAAACGGGAATCTGAGACTTCTACCGGATGCCCTGGTGAGGGAATTTGTGCTGATGCGGGGGGGGAGAATGGGGGGAGGGCAGATTCCTACCAATATTTTCTAAAAATTATTTCTTTATATGCAGCACTTAATGAACTTGACAAGCACACCCACATCTCAATATATGTTCAATGAGGTTCTCAGAAGAGAAAACAAACCTGGGGCTAAAGAAATCATTTCATTGTAAACGGCTACTGGAATGACAGGATTTGGTAAGTCCAAGAGATAGCGTTTGAGAGCATCTGCTAAAACTTGCACATCGATCATTTCCAAGTCCAAGGAAGCGGCATCTAGGATAGAAACATTAAAAAATATATTTCAGACATTTTATACATCGGTTGGGCCAATTTTCTGAATGTTTGACTTAAACGTGACACGTGAAAGGAAGCAAGATGAGGACAAATATAAGATACTTATATTTATTTATTAACAGTGGGTATTTATTAACTCATAGGGGTTGCTGCTGGCATTTCAAATAGAGTAATTTTCTTTGCGTAGGTCTGTCCCCCATGCTGCAGGCATTTGGATGATGACCCCTGTCGATGATGCCAGGAGCACATTCCCAGACTTTGGGGCAACAAAAAATAACGCCCCTGATATGGGCTGAATTGTGTCCCCCCAACAATTCATATGGTGAAGTCCTAACACCCAGTACCTCAGAACGTGACTGTATTTGGAGACAGACCTTTAAAGAGGTGGTTAAGCTAAAATGAGGCCGTTAGGGTGGGCCCTAATCCATTCTGACTGGTGTCCTTATAAGAAGAGGAAATTTAGACACAGAGACACCAGTGGCACACGCACAGAGGAAAGACCACATGAGGACACAGCGAGAAGACGGCCATCTGTAAGCCAAGGAGAGAGGCCTCAGAAGAAACCAAACCTGCCTTGACCTGAGACTTCTAGCCTCGAAAACTGTGAGAAAATAGGTTTCTGTCTTTAAAGCCACCCAGTCTGTGGAATTTTATTATGGCAGCCCTAGCAAACTAATGTAGCCCCCAAAACATTTCCAAATACCTTCTGGAGGGTGGTTCTGCCCTGACTGAGATGGGTTCTACCTAGGGATAGTCAATCATATAGTAAATGTCTCCTAAAACCTCAACATGAAAACCTGAAATGCACATCCACAGATTTCCTAAAATTTGAGTTGCTAAATCCTGCATCCCATAATTAATATAAATTTAACCCAATAGAGGGACTGACTAAACAGTAAGATATTACAGAATTTTAGCAGTCAATCTCAAGAATAGCCATAAACATAATTTGAACATCTTTAGAACGTTTCCCCCTAATTCTGACAGAGTATTATTAATCTAACCGGTGGACACTGAACTACCTCAGAAGAAAGAAAAGACAAGCACATCTGTCCAGTAAATCCTTCAGCTAGAAAAGAAGGCAGGCAATTCAGTAATGGGGTGAAACCAATCAAAACCCCTCTCTGAGTACTTGGGGTAGAAAAAGTACAGTGCCTAGCAGAAAGGAGGGATCCTGGGGAGGGAGGAAGGACCGTGGGCATCTAGAAACAAGCAGAGGCATTTGTCTGCTGCTCAAGGACGCACACTGGTGATGGGAAGGGTGACCTGAGAGAAATTATCTGGAGACTCGTGTGCTCAATGGAGAAACGGTGGGCAATGAGCAAAATGCTACATTTGTAAACAGCTTTATTAATTGTGGTGTTAAAAATAAGTTGCGGGCCGACCAGTGGCATAGCAGTTAAGTTCGCACGCTCCACTTCGGCGGCCTGGGGTTCGCAGGTTCGGCTCCCGGCGTGGACCTACGCACCGCTTATCAAGCCATGCTGTGGTGGCGTCCCACATATAAAGTAGAGGAAGATGGGCACGGATGTTAGCCCAGGGCCAGTCTTCCTCAGCAAGAAGAGGAGGACTGGCAACGGATATTAGCTCAGGGCTAATCTTCCTCACCAAAAAAATAAATAAATAAATTGGAAAGGAGGCTGCTGGAAGTAAAGATACCAACTTTGGTAGTCTGAATTCTAATGCAGTCAGAAATGTGTGAGACATTATCAAGAACTAACATAACTTGGTGATTGACTGGATTGGGTTGTGGCCTAGGACAGAATGAGAAAGAATCGAAGTTTACTCCAGGGTGTTTGAGCATGAGTAGGAGAAGGCGGTATCCTGGGCGCCCGTGAACCAGGTGTGATATTATAAATCACTCCAGATTGAGCCTGAAGCTACAAGAGCTCCTGGGACACATCGTCACCATAAACCAAATTTGCCCCGTGACCTAGGCAGAGCTTATGAAAGATAATCACACAACACCACAAAGCTCTGAGAAAAGTCCGTCTGGTAGAAAATGTGGATAGGTCAGTTAGAGGAAAAGAATTATTAAACTTAAAAGGTGGCGAGGCAAAGGGTTAAATCCCTTAAATGTCCTATAAAAAACTAACCAGAGACATATCACAGCTCTAACAAGTATGGGAAGGGCAAGACTAGGTCTTTGCCTGACGGACCCACACTGAAAGTCATGCAGCTTCTAGAGTGACTGTCAAACAGGACTGTGTGCGCATCACCATAGGAACATTCCACACTGACTATTTGGCAAGCTGCCGGCCCCCCACATACTTCAACCCCTGTATGCTTCATTTAATATGTCTCGTTGCCCAGCAAATTAATATTACTTAATTTGCTCATCCTGAAAAAGGTGACAAACCATTTGGCGATGAGGTATAAACATTAAGACACTAAATAGTCCACAAGTCCCTCCCTCAGGCAGAGTTTCTGCTGCCTTCTCTGTGCAAGAGCAGTGCCGCTGAGCCATCCCCGTATTCTGACACTTCCTGGACAGTATGGTAATTACGCGTCTGTCTACTTGACTGAGACCTCCAGGGCACCGACTGCGGGCTCTCACCTGCTCTCCTCGCCTCTCTCAGTGCTCAGCATGTAGAATGTGCTTGTTAAATGTTTGTGGATTGAATTATAGAAAGTCCTTAAAGTAAGGTTAATTCACTGGAGCGCTTCTCTAACGCATGAGGTATATTCCAAAGAGCCTTTATATAGCCTTTGAATGAAATAACCTTATTTCAAGTCTTCAGACAAGCTCACCTTATGTCAGATTCCACTAGAGTTGATGACATAGTATGTTCTATTTATTTTTTTTAATGTAACTTTTAAAACTCCTTGGAGTTTCTGACTTCTGTTCTAAGCGCCTCCTTTTCTGCATTAAAGCTAGCCTAACATGCTCTTCCAACAGCTACACACATCAGTCAGGTGATGACTTTTGAAGTTAACTAGGTGAGAGCCACACAATATTTAGGTCTGGGTTGGAGGGGTTTATACCCTCTTCCACCCCACTTTTAACTGAGTCTACTCATGACAGGTAACCAGTAAACTCTCCTGTGCTCCACCCGTCCTCCCACTGGAATGGAGCCCCTCCTCAGCTGATGATCTCTATCTAGCTTAGTAGTTCTCCACTGGTTTTCCAGTCTGCTGTCCCATCCCCACCCCTACCCCAGGAGACATCTGGCAATGTCTGGAGACATTTTTGATTGTCACAATGAGGGGACGATGCTATTGGCATCTAGTGGGTAGAGGCCAGGGATGCTGCTAAACATCCTATAATGCACATCCCCCATTCCTCCAAAAGATGTTAATGTGTGGAGGAAATAAAATAACAGTAGGTGCTAATAAAAGTGGGCTGTTGTCCGTCATGTCTGTCCTTTTCAGATATTGGTAATTCACAGGGTTGGTTAAAAGCCATGATTTCTTTTTTTTTTAGTGTAAGTGACCTATCTCTGAGCTTCCTCCAGGATATTATGATATTTTTATGGATTGAAAAATCCTCAAGCTGGAAACGGTGCTAACTAAATTTAGATAATGTTTACTCTTCTTTTTTTTTTTTTGCCACAAAATTTACTTTTATTGCACAGAATCCAAGTGAAACCAGTTTTCTATATGTGTGTTTTGATCTCAAACGGGGAGATGCCTGTCAAGATATATTGTTGACGTGAATTTTGGTTATTTATTCCATCTCACAGGTGGTGCAAAGGTTTTTTTAAAGCTAAACTGCATCATCTGTTTTTGGTCACATTTAAAAACTTAACCACTATGTCTCAAATAGCTTCCATCTCTGGTGTCTAAACATTTCCTGTGACTTTTAACATGTTCAATTTGACCAAGTTTCTGACCCAAACATGTATCTCTATTTCAACTGGGTAGGACAAAATTCAGTGTTTCTTTAGCACCCTGGTAAAGCTGTTAGAAATAAAGAAAAACAAGTCTTTTCACCTCGAGTTTTCTGCCAGTCAACTTCTAATGACCTACTCTGTGGGCAGGGCGGGAGACACAGCAGCAAGGAGGATATGCCCTGTACATGTGTAAGACTGATTTCCATGCACAAAGGAAAAATGAGAGTTAAAAAAATTTTTCTTAAAGCTTCAAACATTTGGGCGGTACATTTCAAGTGAAACTATTTACTGATAAAGATCTGATCAATCTCCTTCTTCTTTCCCAGAAACAACTCTTCTAGAAATTTTCATAAGCTACCTCATTTTGAAGCTGCCTCACTCTTCAAATTTTCATTTATTAAATATCATATGGGCATTCTTTGCACAATTATACATCTGAAAGAGAGTCTTCCAAAACTGGGTTTTACTCTCTGTGGTTCAAACATCCAAATTCAGCTAAAATAATGTGAAGAAGAAAATTATTTTTCTAAAACCAAAAAAGTATTGGGAGGGAATGAAGAATGTGAGAGATTCTAGAAGGTGATATAGATGATGATTTGCTGGAATGATAGCAAGTAAATTTATCACATTTGTACAGTTTTATTCTGTATGGCAAAGGAGGGAGGAGACAAATTATAATAAAGCCACCACTTGGTTGAATTAATTGATGTCATTTAACCAACGGTGTGCTGGAGTGGCTTGTACCATCTTACAAGGGCCAACTGTGCTCAAGTCTTCCCAAGTTGGAGTACAGTGAGAACATGCTGGTAGCTTGACCATGGTGGGAATATTTACACCACAGAAATGGGCAAATGCTACAAACAACGAGGTTTTTTTTTCCCCAGAGAGTTGGTTTACCAGCACACCACTTAATATAACAATACTGTGGTGTTACTTAATGCAAATATGGCATGAAAAAGCAAGCAAGGAAGGAAGAAAGCAAGACAGAGAGAAAGGGAAAGGAAAGGGAGAAAGTCAGAAGAGACTTTTGTTAAACGACATAGACTTATAAATATTTTTTAAACCGATCCAGATGAATTAGATGGAACCAACTGCAGGGTCAGAGAAAGAGGGTAGATATGCAGGAGTCAGAGAAATCCCAAGAGGCTGCTTCTCTCCTCTGCATTCCTGCAGGACCCGGAGGCTCTTGGCTGTGACGACAGCCAATGTGCCTGCAGGCAGGCGTGCACACACACCCCAGCTCTGGAGACAAACATCAAAGGTTTGCACCGTTACTGTCACAGGGCAGAGGGAACCGTGTGTGGTTTCTGAGCTCCCTCCAAACTTAGAACACTGCATGCTTAAGTTCAAGTTTTTTGTGCTTTACCTGAAACAGAAAGGTAAGAACTGTCTTTCCCACTTATATTTCTAGCTCCGTGACACTCACCACAATCAAGAAGCTGTCGTAATTCTGCTGGGTTGCTGGAGCTCTGTGTTCTGTATAGAGTTGAACATTCCAGACCTAGGACACAAAACAGACTGAGTATGCAAAACACAGCTCTCTGGAGAACCTGTGAGCCTGCTGCCAGAAAGACATTCCGGTCTCCATCCAGTATCTATTCTAGATGTGTACCAAATATTCTTGGAAGTCAACTCCTACTATTAATCTTTTTTTTTGTGTGTGAGGAAGATCAGCCCTGAGCTAACATCCATGCCAATCCTCCTCTTTTTGTTGAGGAAGACTGGCCCTGGGCTAACATCTGTACTGATCTTCCTCCACTTTATATATCACAGCATGGCCTGACAAGCGGTGCCTCGGTGCGCGCCTGGGATCCGAACCCGGGCTGCCAACAGCAGAGCACGTGTGCTTAACTGCTATGCCACGGGGCCGGCCCCCTATTATTAATCTTATCTGGCATGTCAATAATTTTCACAAAATCATCTGGCCACTAAAAAGCAAATTAATTATATTTATTAAATTATCGAGAATTTAACAGTTTCCATACAGTAACTACATGTTAATAGTAGTTAGAATATATACCATAGAGTTAGAAATCAGACCAAGATGATTTCCCCAGGACACAGCTCCAAAGAGCTTGTGTGTCTAGCACAGGTAGCAAGAATTGTATTTAGTGAATGTCCAAGAGACAAATACAAATTATAACGCCCATGAAACAGGATGTAACAAGGTCACTGGTTCCCTCCAGCAGCTGGATTACCTTTCTTTTCAATGGCTTCCACGAGCTTGATAAGAAGAGGTGGAGCGACGTCAGGAGGGGCAAACTGCTCTGCAAGGTCCGGAAGAGTCAAAGCTGCAAACAAGGCAAGTCCTACGATTACATTTAATTTGGTGTAATCAAATGCATTAGACAACAATCAAGGAACTCTAAACACAAAATCATTCAGTCTATCTGACAGTAGCAATCTCAGGCCCGAGCAACAGAGAGCCCTGTGCTGGGCCTGGCCCTTTAGAAGGCTCCTCTCTGGCCCTCCTCCAGCTGTGCCTCTTCCCACAATGTGATGAGTTTTGAGGGCCAAGGGGACATGCTACCTCTTCTCTCCTAGGACACCCTCAATCTTCCTACCCAGAATCCCAGAATTCCTTGCCCTACTGGCTTCTCAAAGCCTCTTCCCCAGGTCCATCCTCACCAGGGCAGACCTCCCTGCCAGGTGTGCCCTGGGCCCAAGGAGTAGGAGCTGGGGCTGGGAAGGAGGGCTCAGGAAAGAATGGAGTTTGGACGTGCAAGGCCCCTGGCAGTCCGGGGCAAAGCCAGGGGTGGGCCGAGGGGCCAGCTCCCCCTATGTCACCATGCTCTGGGGCAGAACTGGGAATCCAAGAAATCTAAATTCAAATCTGGCCTCCTGGTCATTATGAAGGAGCAATTGTCCAGACAGGAGGATAGAAGAGATTTCATTGAACAGTTTGTTAATGTGATTTATAACCTTAAAATACCGAGACACAGGGCACCTGGGCCTCCTTTTGTACTCTTGCCCCAGGCCCCATAAATGTCAGGGGCAGGCCTAGTGTCAGACATGGAAGCCAATACAAATGATCAGTGGCCACTTGACACTCAAGTTAAGTCCCTGCTGTCGAAGCCCTTATTTGCTTACATATATTTTGGTCAGTTACTATCTTAAGAAATGTGATGCTTTCATAAACTGTTTTTCCATGGTTTATTTACATGTTTTATCAATTGTAATGATACAAAAAGAAAAAAACTTCTTGGATGACACTCACAAATAATCTCCTTCAACGTGAAATTGGTAACTGTATTCTCATTCCAAAAATATATGAAACCATTTTAAGTAAAAATATCTTTCTCATACCAGAAGAGGGAGCTAAATATATTCACCTCATATTTCTCAAACTACAAAATATAGGTAAATGATAGCCTTTATGAAAATACCTCCATGTGTAACCTATTTATTAGCCATCAACAAATAACTTTTTAGACACTTAAGGTTCATCACTGTGCACTCTTATCTAGCAATACATAGTTTATATAACCTAACAAAGCCTAAATATTTATAATTTTGTTTCAATGAGATTTTAGTGGTGTGATTCTTTATTAATAAGCCATATATCATGCAAAGCAAATTCCTAATGAAGACTACCTTTCTAATACTAAGAGTCAGCACAGAACAACAACAGATTCACAATGCAAAAATAAAGTAAAATTATGTTATTAAATTTTGACCTCAGATGGGCCGGCCCCGTGGCTTAGCGGTTGGGTGCGCGCGCTCCGCTGCTGGCGGCCTGGGTTCGGATCCCGGGCGCGCACCTACGCACCGCTTCTCTGGCCATGCTGGGGCCGTGTCCCACATGCAGCAACTGGAAGGATGTGCAGCTATGACATACAACTATCTACTGGGGCTCTGGGGGGGAAAAAAATAAATAAATAACATCTTTAAAAAAAAAAAAAAATTTTTGACCTCAGAGAATTAAGTATGATTTATGTCATTCTGTAAACCCTAAACCCTGTGGTCTAAGACCCTTTTATTTTTTTTATTTTTTATTTTTTGTGAGGAGATCAGCCCTGTGCTAACATCTGCCAATCCTCCTCTTTTTGTTGAGGAAGACTGGCCCTGGGCTAACATCTGTGCCCATCTTCCTCCACTGTATATGGGATGCCGCCACAGCATGGCTTGCCAAGCAGTGCGTCGGTGCGCGCCCGGGATGCGAACCGGCGAACCCCGGGCCACCGCAGCGGAGCGCTCGCACTTAACCGCTTGCGCCACTGGGCTGGCCCTAAGACCCTTTTAGATTGCCAAATCCCTGAGACAGACACACACGTGATCTTGCCACCTAACTCTATTAGCCATTGCAACTAGCCAGGATAAAAGGAGAAGAGCTACATTATGAAAGAAAATCCTAGAGCAGCACTGTCCAGAATTTGTGTGATAATGGAAATGTCCTATTAGCTGTGCTATTCAATAGAGCACTGACTAGTCACATGTGGCTCCTGAGCACTTGAAATGTAGCTACTGCGACTGAGGAACTGAATTTTTAATTTTTATTGATTTAAATTGAAATAGCTATATGTGGCTAGTGACCACAGTATTGGAGAGTGCAGTCCGATGGCCTGAGCAAGGGCAAATTTTGTCACTAGCAGATGAAAGATTCCTGAGTTGGCTGTGTGCTACAAAGACCCCACTATAAAGCCATCCCTGAGGACAGGACATTGGGACACAGGGCTAATCACATCGGAACTCAGGGCATGCCAAGTTTGCCGTGCACTCAGTTTCCTGGGTGACTGTCCTACTGCAACACCACTGAACACATCTGGGACTTCATGAAGGCAGAATGGATATGCCATCGACTTTTCAGACAGTCACTACTCAGAGAGCTAATGATGAAAGAAACTTCATCTCTCCTGTGTTTCCCGCACCTGTCTGAACTCAGGGATCACCCAGAGAACTTGCTCGGAAGACAGATTCCTGGGTACACCACGAACCCCTGGAATCAGAATATCCAGGAATGGAGCTAGTAATCTGTTTTGGGTTAGTGATAATATGCTATTAAGATAAGCAAATTCATGTGGGTGACCCCCCGAAAAAATCCAGCAATGACATCCCCCAAATCTCTAAATGTTAAAATGTGAGTATATTTGAAAAGCACAAATATCTTGAAAGTTTCATATAGTCTTTTGAATTAAAAGCACTGTAAACTAAAAAGAGAAATACTATAAAATGAAAGAGCCTACCATTTCACATCCTCTTATAAACTACTTCCTTTTGCCTTAGAAGATTATCAGTTCACAAAAATATCCTCCCCAATAAATGCCTCCTACACTGAACAAAATGAAACATCATCCTATCAACATATGTAACAGAAGGAAAACATAAAGGTAGAGAAATGGTATTAATTAGGATTCACTGTGGTGTCTCTCCTCAGCCCTCTCCAACTTACAGGTCTTAGCACAGGCCAAGATGAAAATGCTAAAGGTTAAATAGTAAATACAGGAACCTACATATCCACACAACACTCGTCCAACCAACATGCCCAGTTCCTCTTTCTTTTCCCTCATAAATTACAAGCATGTTTTTTTCCCAATAAAAAAAATCCTGAAAGTTGGCACTTGAAAATGGAATTACTTAATAAAGGTTTATCTCCTTCCAGAATCTTATCAACACGATCATTTCTGCAGGCAAATATGAAAGTTAAATTAAGTGATAATTAAAGATTTCGCCTAATTGTGACTGAAATATGCACCCAACAGTTATATTACTGGATTGGCAAATACTACGTATAAAAGGGTTTCCATCTCTCTTTTCTTCACTTCACTTGAAGAAGGAAAAGGAAAAAGCAAAACCTTCCCTTAGTGCTTTCAACGTTTTTTTGGCAAGAAATGGTGGTTTACCTTCAGTATCCTCAGCTACAAAAATATCATTTGTTTCACTCATACAAGTGTTACATGAAGTTCTAAAAAGCACTGTGAAGGCTGTTAGGTATCTACAACAACACTGGAGCTTTTCTCAAAGTGCACACCAGAATACTTTAAAAAGAAAAAAGCTAGATGTATACAGTAGGAAGTACAGGTACTCCTTTTGCAATTTATCAAGTGAATTTCTCACTGAATTTTTAATATTGAAAAAAAAGCTTTATGACCCATATGAATCATCACAGCTGATCGAGGTTTTGCAATAGGAGTTTTAAAAGGTAAATTTTACAAGGAGAGATTTTTTTTTAAAAATAACAATTCAAGGATTTCCTATTCTCTAGTACAATATCTGTGAGTCAAACCATTTCCCCTCTAAAATTTTTAAACATAGGGAATGTGGAAGCCCTCCTCAAGAAGCCTTTAAAGTTCACATCTTCTACTTTGGGCAACAGGATCAGTTAACATCAAAAGTCTAAAAAGTATTCTAAAGCAAAATATTAATTATTTCAATAATCCTAAAATCAGCTATTCCTTTAAATTTATTAAATACACAAAGTCAATATTTACTTTTCCATTAGATTCCACTTTAAGAAATTCCAACAGGAAATGACAATTGGTAGGAATTACCAAATTTGGTGAGCTGTTCTCTGAAAAGTCCATGCTAAAGCACATCATACAGTTCATCATACAGTTCAATAAACCAAAACATAATGGAACTAAAAATAAAGATATATATCATATATGGTGGCTATCAAACAAAACACAAGTTAACAGAGCATGATCCTCACAAAGTTTACATATAAATTCTCATTAGATCGTCTTCAAGACAGATTCTTACACCCGAATGAGGAATGCTGTGGTTTTGAATCCTGCTGTAGCCACTGTATAAGTCTGGAGAGCCAAGATACTCTTGAGAATCTGGGGGAATTTGTAGATTCTCTACTACAATCCAACACCAGTTTTTCACTTAGCTGAATCATTTTTCATCAAAAGAAATCAGTATTACATAAGAAGAAAGAAGACAAGAAGAGCAGAAGGGTCTAGAAGTGGTGAAGCCAAGACATGTATTGTTTCAAAAGAAAGGAGGCAGCAGTCCTCAACAGTGATAAGAACACCAGGGAACTAGGTGTCCAGGTTGTAGAAAGAATTTCTGATGACACATCAGATGCTGCATTTTCCACTAGTTCTATTTTCCCCCCTCGCCCTGGTGACAACCAATCACACAGAACAGAAGAGAGCCTTCTCTCCAAACGTGGGCCCTTCTCACACCACTAACCTGGACAGGCCCCAACAGTCCCTGGGCACCAGCGGTGTGTGGGAGACAGTGGCATTCCTCGCACTGAAGGGTGCCAACACTGCTACAAAATGCAAGATGAAACCAGCACACAGCTGCACCTTTTGGAGGCGTTCTTATAAAAAAAGATATTTTA